CCATCGAAGTTTACAAATAACACGATATAGATCACAAGTGGGCTAAGTTCGAACTAAAAACACAATGTGAGCATAGATTTGACCAAAGTGGACTTCTTGAACCTCAAGTGTCCTACGCGAAACTATGTTGCATAGTGTCGTGAACAGGTGGTCAGAGGATATTATAGGGTCTGGATGGAAGATGGGGTGATCGCAGTTTATTACAAGCCCACCCCAGTTCAATTTAGATGGGACCTTCCAGAAGGTATGAGTATGTTTGGATATGAGACCTACCAACGCACCAACACTCAATTTTCACTTACCAAGATTAACGAGTTGCCTAGACGAATAGAAGAAGATTTGTCAGACTTTGATCTTAAGCACTGTTTAGTCTACACATATTGCCATCGTTCTTTCAACAAATCATGCAAACAGTCTTGAGATAAGTACCACGTACAAGTGTGTATAGTTGTCTCACAAAAAACAAAGAGGAGCACAATGGAGTTGTAAGAGAGATCTTGGTACAACTGAACAAACGCAACTCTACGATCAACAGCAAGTATTGTGACTTCGGAGTTAACGAAATATAGCTATTGGCATATTGTGCATCTTGTGAGGGGATCATGATCGATCCTAAAACGTTAGATCACCTACTGGATTGAAGAGTAAATACCATACAACTTAGAACTTTTCAAACTTATTAGTCTTCACACTTATAAGTTATCGTCCACAATTAGAAGTTCTCGCACTCTTATTAACGTCCAGGAACATTATCGAACAGTTCGGTACTTACAACACCAGCATTGCTTTAAATCGGAGGTAAACATGGTTGACATTACATACTTGTTCAAAATATGAATAAATAAATAAATAAAAACGTTTTTTTTGCTCACCACACAGCCCCCTAAACCCTTTCAGTCGTTGACTGACGGGACACCAGCAGTGCGATATCAACCGGTTGAGGTGGGTGATGTTTCTCGCGTTGAAGAGTTGGTGAGTAGCTAGCTTCTGGAAGTATACAGCGCGCTCGAAAAGCTCAGAAACGCCATGCGGACATTAGCAGAGTAAAAATTGGTATGCAAACTACACTCAATCGTGTTTGTTCTGATATGTCAGAAATTGTTTTTTTGCGACAGGATCTTTTGAAATCCTGGTGGTCGAAGTCTGATAGAAGGTTTTATTGACGCTATAGATACAAATGTGGATTTGGATATCATGATGGTTAGGAATGTTTGAGAGCATTGTCCATTAGTTGATTAGATAGTCATCCGACCCGATCGCATGAACTGGCGCGGCTGTAGTACTGGACTGGGCTCACTGCCATGTGTGTACTCTCCTTAGTAGGACTGGACTGATAGACCTTGCCCTGTCATCCATTTGGTAGGACTGGACCGATGGGCCCTGGGCAGACGTTGGGACTGAGGACTCCCACCACGTGGCCATACGAACGAGTGAGGCCTCTGATAGTTAGGAAACAGGATCGGAGGATTGGGTTCACAAGTCGACTGTCTCTTCTACTTACTAGCCCTACGTTAGAGGAATCTGAGACAGTCTTTATATAAAAATGTATTAAAGGGTTAGTATATCCTAGTTACTAGAATCTCGCACTACACCAAGGGGGTGTGGACTGTGCTGAGTCTGCTGACCGCTGAGTTCTGACTGAGGCACTGTGCTGAGTCATGAGTATGCTCTTCAAAGTGCAAACCGCCAAACCTCTGGGGCCACCTAAAACTTTTTAAAAAATTGTTTTTTTTTGAACAAAACAAATTACTTATGAACACCACACACGGTGTGTGGCTGTGAGTGTGACGTTGTAAATATTTATTTGAATACTGGACCCAGGGTAGCCTTCTTATAGAATCAGTATATACATATATAATCAGCAATCACTTAGAACTTTAGAAGGCTATGTATGACGGTATGGTCGGATTTAGGATTTTAGATTAAAGGCATTCTACAATCACAATGTAGGATATTATGGAAAAGGTGTAGGAAACCCGAAACCGGTATTTAGTCACTAGTTATTACCAAGCTCAATACGTTTTGCCTATATGCGATAAGCTTTAAACGGAAACGCAAAAAGGGGTTTTAAGCGTTTCAAAGTATATCGGGGGCAAATCGACCATAAAAATTTGCCAAATTTTTGCACCTGAGAAATTGACCTTTCGTTGAATAACAGGGCCACGAAACGCGTAATGTCCAATTAAAAGGCGATTTGAAAATAATCACAATTGACACAAAGTGAAAAGTAGGACAATTCGTGACGGTTAGGCCATAGGACTACATAAGATAAACTTTGAACATAAACGCTTATTATTATATATTTCTTTGCGTTTTAACAGGAAACGTAATGAGGTTAGAACTTTTAAGAACTCTAGTACGGTATGTAGTCGGTAGTCGGTAGTCGGTAGTTGGTACAGTAATTCACATTTCACCCCTTTCTCATATCAGAATATATTTTGATTTAACGAATAGCATCGAAAGCAATTAAAAGGTACTCCGATCTACAGCTCTACATACTATATAAAGTCATAAATAGTTAAATACTAAAAATACTATAGTACTTTATAGTTTATACGAACTCGGAACTCAGGTCTCATACCTTCTCTTTGTGTAGTCATTAGACCAATCAGACAACCACTAATTACTCAAGAAGTTTTTGTTATTATTTAGAGGCAAGCTGGTTGCCTGGTTTAGTGGTTCACTGCTGCAGTGCTGGTATTTCTTCAAAATATAAAACACTTTTTCTTTAAAATAAAACAAAAACAAAACAAAAAGTATACTCTGAATTCTCAATTCTGAAGTGAAATCCCGATCCGCCGATCCGGGAATCCGGAATCCCAGCGAGTCAGTTCAAGAGTTGGTACTTGACAGTAGTGAGCACTGAGCCAGTGACCTCATTTATTCCTTTTTAATAACTGCTTTTGTTGTTTGGTTGTTTGGGTTTTTAAAAATAAGAATAAATAAAACAAAGGAACCGCTGAAGTCTGATGAAGAGTGAAGTCACTGGGGACTCGGGGACTGGACAGACCATATGTTTTTTTTTGGTGTTACACGGCAGTATCAGGAGGAATATAGCAAAATTCGGGCTCAATAGCTTAAAAACTATCTGTATATAAGCGGATAACTTTGATATCAAAACATCATATTCTACAAATGATATTAACACATTCATCTTATTAAAGCCAAACCATATACTATCACTAGAATGAAGTTCTTTGCCACTACCCTTGTCATCGCCGCCACTTCAGCTGCTATCATGGCTAGTTCCTCCGGAACGAGCAGTTTCGAGCTGTGTAAGGAGTGGATTGAAGATAGTGATTGCCCCGCCGGCTTTAAATACAACGAGCTGGCTAAAGATGCCCGAATCAAGCCTCATGGAGTTTCCTAGTCTACATACGATCCTATGGTTTTGTGTTGCACACCCAATCAGTGTCATGACATGATCCCAAGCAAGACCCCATGCTCAAACGGATATATGACTGGTGACGACGGTTGCGAACTTCCCGAATGCCGCCCTGAGTCATGCCCCGTAGCTAAGCCACAGATGGAATTTGAGATGTACTGCCAGTGGGGATTCGAACTTGGGAAGGATGGGTGTGAAATCGGCGAGTGTCGTGAGGAACCCGAGTCAGAATGGTTAACATGCAAGAACAACAACCAGGATGTGTGCAAGGATAAGTACAACAAAGGTGTTCAGAACTACCGAAAGTGTCAGCGCTGGTTCAACGACAGTTATCCCAATATGAAGTGTGCATCCTCCTACTGTTGCAAAGACTAAGTGCAAGAATGTTCCAAAATTACGCTATTACGCTATTATGCACTGTAATTGAACAAACTACAGAAGCTTGCACGATAACAGTTATAATTGTGAGTTCATAGTAAAGTCCAAAAATTAAAAGTATATTGAAAATGCGAATCAAGCACTATGTGATCAATTACGCCTCTCAGTGTCAAGTAGTTTTATCAGTTGTATTATGAAGAAAATTGCTCGCTAAGTAGAGAAGTGAATGAAGTGTACTCTCAAGTCATTCTGGGTTTGCATTGCGGATACACTTTTGTAGATGTCCAATGCGAATTGCAAATACTAGAACACCAAACGATTCTACCATTATATTATTCATTCAGAGATTTCACTACAAGTTCTGCTATGAATTTACTACTCCATCATCTCTTGACAGCCACCCAGAATGTTATCTTAAGCCTGAACCTGAACGCAATCAAGCCTTTTGAAATTCACCGGAAAACCGTTGACTGACAATAAACCGATACAATCAGCACATTGAACTACGGGTTGCAGATCCAAGAGTCCAAAAATGGCAAATTATATTTTTATCATATTCCAGGGTTGGCTTTTAAAGACCAAAGGAAGTACATATGTATTAAAAATACATACATACTGCAGTTTCAATTTTAAGTGTTTTACAATTCAAATGCATAGTATCAATTGACGTCTGCCAGATACAACACTGCAAGCTCTTTATTTTTTGTTTTTATTATGAGAATTACATAAAAAATAATTATGACTTCTTCTGACTTCTCAAGTTCGTATACTGTATAGTGTATACAACTATACATACATATATATCAGCTCTCCGGCCGACAGAATCACCAATCAGTTTCACATGGTCATTAAATGTAAGGCTGGAAAACACTAAAATTATTATCTAACAAAAATAGAGCAAGAAAATTAAATTTAGTCAATGCTCACTGCTCAGTGCTCAATGCGCACTGCTCACAGCTCTGTATTTTTTACAATTAAAGCATCACATAGCCTTCTAGCTGAAACAAAGACTATGGAAATCAGAGGAAAAGGGAACCGCAAAAATACCATAGACGTATTTACGACACATTCCGAGAATTTGCCATATGCATATACACTATGTAGTAAAGAGTAAGTGAACGACGGTCACATAGACGAGCAGTTTATCTTTTGGAGTGTATACATGTAGCCTTGTAGCCTTTTAAATCGGGATAAACCATAAAAACGAATCAATCACACTGAAACGACTATCAATACTCCTTACAACTAAAAACTACAATGATTTATTTTTGCGACTGTAGTCTTAGTTACCTCTACCTCAGCTCCAGAGACGAGAGAATGTATGTCCTGTAGGCCTCGCATGCAACAAGCTAGCTAGTCATGATGGATGTGAACCTTCGGAGTGCCGTACCAAGTCATGCCCTGTAGTTAAGTCTCGGATGGTGTTCAGTTGGAACAGATTAGGATGGATGCGAGATCGCTGAATGACATGATGAAAGCAAGTTTGAATAGTCGAGGTACAAGTACAACAAAGGAGGGGCAGGAGTTCAGCGATGGAGTTATAGCATTTATTGCAACGTGAAATAGAAACCCCAGTGATTCCACTACTGTTGACAGGAGAAAGCGAAATATTAACCTACACTCGCATAAACCCAATGTCCAAGCTAAGTATGTGTGAGAGCGGAATTGATCATTATGTTTCGAATAAAGCACTGATGTGTTGAGTGGAGCGGCTTCCAGATTTAATTCCTTTGGCTCATATACATCCGCATATGTTTGTTCTGGCGGTGTTAGGTAAAACCGATCCGTCCATAGCTCCCTCAATATCAATATATATATATATATATATACATATATATAAATATATATATATACATATATATATACATATATATATACATATACATATACATATATATGTATATATATATGGCGCCTACTACAGGTTAGTTTCTAATGAACACTAACTGCTGGCTGTACTGATGGTGACCGCTGCCATCTGGTTACTGTCGCCATCATCTATATATTTGACACTACAGTTTTAAGTCTAAAACTTTAAATTACTTACACACTCATCCAATCATAGAGATCTAGCTTTATGTACGCATACTACTGGCTTACATGAAGTAAGTCTTTAGTTTACAATATTCCACCAAGTTCTATGTACTTGGTGGACTTCCAAAGCCACCATCATACACACAAGTCCACTCGCGGACTCAGCATCACACGCCACGCAAACTCAGCGTCACACGTCACGTATGACTCATTGTCATACGTCACGTGGACACAGTGTCATGCATCACATGGACTCAGTGTCACACATGTCACACACCAATTGCAATTGCAATTACAATTACAATTACAATTACAACTACAATATATATATATATATATATATACATATACATATACATATACATATACACACACACACACACACTATATATATATATA